ATATTCACAAACATTGGTGGCCAAGTACTCCTACCTAACCCACGTTTCACTCACAAGATCCACCATTACAAGCAAAAACACTTATGGAATATAACCCATGCCATATACTTGTTCTTCATATATCCACTATACCCATTACACTATTTGACACCAACTATTAACCTGATATCTATTGAAGCCACCTAATCAGTTAAGCTTTCATTCCATCCTCTTCCAATGAATGCATAGAAACATAAATACAAAATAACTATATTCACAGAATATTAGTTTCAACCTTGGAGATGGAGTTATTAAAGCACCAAACTAGTTGTTCAATTTCCACCAAAAGTTACTCATATCTCCTCTTCATGGCTGCTAGTTGAATAATATGAGAGTTTAGGGTTACGGAATATAACTCATGCCATATACTTGTTCTTCATACATCCACTATACCCATTACACTATTTGACACCAACTATTAATCTGATATATATTGAAGCCACCTAATCAGTTAAGCTTTCATTCCATCTTCTTCCAATTAAAAGACCTTCCAAATATTTAATTTGCACTTTAGGATTGACCACAAAAATATTTGAGATTGTAATATTATTATTATTTAATTATTTACTTAATTTTTATATTCGAGTTCTCACAGAACAGGTAGCCTAATCAAAATTTTCCCTCAACAATGGCTCCTCAAATAGTAACCTGTACATAAAGAATTTCAATCTCCATCAAGAAAGAAGAAAGAGTCACTTTCCAATTCCTGGAAGTCCAGTAAAAATGATGACTTTGGTAAGGAATGGGGGGTTGACAGAAAACTAAACTTGGGGGTTGGACAAACAAGCTCAAAGCCAAGTGGTTGGTCCAGTTGGGGGACTTTGTTATTATTAAAATCTTATCTCTAAATTAGAGATTTCCACTATAAATTATTTTAGGTTTAAAAATTAATTAAAAGACCTTCCAAATATTTAATTTGCACTTTAGGATTGACCACAAAAATATTTGAGATTGTAATGTTATTATTATTTAATTATTTACTTAATTTTTATATTCGAATTCTCACAGAACAGGTAGCCTAATCAAGATTTTCCCTCAACAATGGCTCCTCAAATAGTAATCTGTACGTAAAGAATTTCAATCTCCATCAAGAAAGAAGAAAGAGTCACCTTCCAATTCCTAGAAGTCCACTGAAAATGATGACTCTGGTAAGAAATGGGGGGTTGACAGAAAACTAAACTTGGGGGCAGGACAAACAAGCTCAAAGCCAAGTGATTGGTCCAGTTGGGGGATTAAATAATTTCCAAAAAACTGTTCTTGGAAATTCAAAAACCAAGTAAGTTTTGCATTTAAAATTTATAACAATTATTTTAATATATACATTTTCATTCCAACAATATTTTCATACACTAGTCTTCCAATACTATTGGGTTAAGTGGTTGTCCGTGAGATTTGCAAATTTATTACGAGTGATTTCCAGAAAAAATCTAAATAACAATTAATTTTCCATACCTATGGGGTTAAGTGGGCGTGCGTGAGATTTACAAATCTGTTACGATTGATCTGCGGATGGGTACGTTACGACCAATGTTCAGTTGATATTGTAAATGTTTCCCAAAATATTACAAATTGAATATTCAAAAGCTGATTTTAAAATAATTCCAAATGACTACAAAAATTCAAATAGTCAAACTTTTCAATGAAATACAAATAGTTGGTCGTAACAACGAATGATGCATAGCTAAGTGAAACACAACATTGCCTACATAAGCTTTCTTTTTTCACACATTAAGTAGTCAAATTGTGGAGAGACTTGTCAGTATATGCAGATGGATTGTCATGTCATGTGACTTGGTGCATAGGCTTTGGTTTTCTCAATTTTTTGATTACAGTGACAACTCATCTCTTATTGATATATGTGGGATTCTCAATTCAGAAAGTCACATGGCAACAGTGAATTCACTGATTTATCTTACAGTGAGTATGCCCTTATTTTGTTGGTATATGCAGATGGGTTGTCAAGTCATGTGACTTGGTGCACAGGCATTGTTTTTCTCTATTTTCTGATTACAGTGACAACTCATCTCTTATTGATATTGTCACGACCCGAACTCGCCCCCATGGGTTAAGGACGTAACCGGCCAGGGTAAAATCAAACAGATATTCCTACGGTGAACAGATAGAAATTCAAAACCACATATTTTCACATAATGGCATACAAAACCATAACAAACACATAATCACATCTTATTAAGGACCAATTAACATATTACGAGACAGGGGTATTACAGATATATGTGTGATTGTCAATTCAGAAAGTCATATGGCAACAGTGAATTCACTGATTTACCTTACAGTGAGCATGCCCTTATCTTGTCGGTATATGCAGATGGATTGTCAAGTCATGTGACTTGGTACACAGTATTTGCTTTTCTCTGTTTTTTTATTCTAGTGACAACTCATACCTTGTTTCGTATATGTGGGATTGTCATGCAGAGGCATTTATTTTCTATGGTTTTTCCTTTAATGTCTTTCTAAAGTCGTTCATAACCAACTATATAAACGACTAAAAGTGAAGACACAACCTTACAGCTCATTTCGCCCTACGAAATTATCATTCATTTGTTTAAAAAAATTAGCATGGCTACACGATTCATGGGAGGGAGTGGGAAGTGCAGAGGTGGTAGGAACTTGCAAAGGGGTGACAGTTCACGACGAGGAGGGGGAAGGGGACGTGGCGATGCTGAAGACGAAACAACAATGCCTGTTTCAGATTATGCTAGTGGTTATCGTAATAGGTTTGGGAAGCGACATTTTTTGATACCCAAGTATTATCGAGTTCAAGGAGGTTCATGTATGGAGCCATCTGACAATCAAACAGGACATGGTTTATCTGACGCTGCTCGTCTCAAGTGGCCCGCACTATTTATACAGCGGGTACAACTAGAAACCTTAAGTCGGGAAAATCAACTTAAGGTGCCAAAAGCACGTTTTGTTGAGATCCAAAAGGAAGATCCTGATAATGTTGATCAACTATGTGAAAGACTACAACGTGAGTTTTCTTAAATGCGCTGTAGGTTAGCCCGCGATATGCAACTATACATAGTTAAGAAGGATGCCTAGAAGAACAGAATAGAATCAAATGTTGCGGCTATCAAGGGTATCATGGAGGATCCTGAACTTGTCTCTGACGCGGAGCTTTCGGATTATTCAGACTCTGAGATTGCCGATTTAAGCGCGAATTAGGTGTTAATGTCTACACTTCGGCAATATTAGGTCATGCATTAATATGTAATGTCTGTGTTAGACTAACTGTTTCCGTAATGAGTTTGTCAGATTGTCTGCCTAATATTTGTCTGTCTAACCGTTATGCTTATGTATTGTGTGTTCAGTTCAGGGTGTCCAGGATGTATGTATTGTGTATTCAGTTCATGGTGTCCAGAATGCATTTTTGTGACAGACTTATGTCTACCTGTGTAACTGAAAACTGTTACATTTGCAACTTCAGTTATGTTGTTTTCATGCCTGTATGAGTATTTAGTAAATTAGTGGCTTTGTATATTATGTATTAAGTTTTATTACAAAAATGTTGACAAAATTTATTTTAGGAGAAATACACATTCTCTTAACTTGTTCATCTTCTCAATCGTGACAACCCAAAAATGTAACCATTATGCATTGAATATAGCAAATAACATTCTCATTCTTACAAAAAATACACTACCAATTGAATAAAACAAATAACCTTTCCATTCATTCATTCATTACACAACATTAATTTTATGAAATAAGCGAAACCAATTGAATCACAATAACATCAACTCCAACCCAATATTTACATTACATAAGTTCCTGTTCGTAATCAGAATTTAAATTACATACAAGTTAACATTACAAAGCAAAAAACAGAAAAAGTACCATTCGTATGTAAAATATACATCACCAAAATTTGAGATCTTTCTCTTATTCCTTCTTGCTGCAGCTCTCGCGGTGGACTTTGTCTTCTTGGCCCACTCTGTGGTGCTCTTTGCGTCTCACCCTTCGTCGTTGTTCGCCGAACTGCACAGTGTGTGGATGTGCTTCGGACTGTAGAGCATGTATATCACCTTCTAACCCAAAACAAAGAGAAAAGAAAAAAAGAAAACGGCTAGAAAACGGTTTTACTAAACTGGTTTTCTGAATTACATTATCACATTCAAACCCAAAACAAAGACAAAAGAAAAAAAAAATATTTAAATGAAAACGGCTTTAGTAAAGCCAAAATAAATTTCTGAATAACATCTTCTAACCCAAAACAAAGAAAAAGAAAAATAAGAAAATTTTACATGAAAACGACTTTAGTAAAATCAAAAGAAATTTCTAAATTACATTATCACCTTCTAACCCAAAACAAAGACAAAAGAAAAAATAAAAAAACAATGGCTTTAGTAAAGCCAAACAAAATTTCTGAATTACACTTTATAACCCAAAACAAAGACAAAGAAAAAAAAAAAAAAATTAATATGAGAACGGCTTTAGTAAAGCTAAAAAAAATTTATGAATTACATTATCACCAAAACAATGACAACAAAAAAAAATAATAAAATAAAATAAAATTTAAATGAACAGTAAAAGCGTGGTTGCAATCCACGCTTGTTGTAGTCAACAGTGAAATCGTGATTCACAATCACGTTTTCTTAAGAAAATAAATATACACAGTGAAAGCGTGGTTTGGAATCACGTTTTCTTCAGAAAATAAAATTTAAATTATAAGCACAGTAAAAGCATAGTTTGAAACCACGTTTTATTCAAAAAAAACAAAATAAGCACAGTAAAAACGTGGTTCCAAACCACGTTTTCTGAAGAAAACAAATTTTTCTTAAAGCGTGATTATAACTACGCTTTTTTAATTAAAAACGTGATTTATAACCACACTTTTATTATTTTATAAATTTTCTTTCACAAACAATAAAAGTATGATTTGTAACGCTTTAACCTAACTTAACAATTCCGTCCAAACTAAGACGAAGTCTAGTTTGAGAATTAAGATGTTGATTTGGGTTAATATGGAAAAGCCTCCTCATCATTCCCTATGCCGAACCGCCCGCCCTACCCGGTCTGCTCTCCTTCTCTCTCTCTGATCTGAAATTCTAGGGTTCTGAGCCCGAATTAGATCGGTACCGAATTGGAATTAGGGTTTTTGTGTTCCGATAGGGCAGACGAGGGTTTGGAGGCGATTTGAGGCTTTTCGCTTATCCCACGACGGTAGCCGGTGATTCTGCAACATCTACAGCTACTTCCTTCTTCAAGCTATTCACTTGGTGGGTCTTTCAATTGTTTCAGTATCACTTATTGATTTGCACTGCATTGTTGTCTGTACTTCATTTTTTTTGAAAGCTTCTTTTGTAGGGATTTTATAAAATTGACGTAATTAGACCGTGTTTTGTTTGGCAGATTAGGTCGAATGAGATTACGAGTATGGTGGGATTGAATTGAGTGATGAGATTATTAGGGTTGGTTTTGGGTGTACTAAAAAAAGTGTAGTTTTTGTCTTTTTATGAAAATATGTGAAAAAAAGTAAAGAGGTGATGTGATGAAAAAAAAAATATAAAAAGATGGATTATATAGTAGATGCCAAACCAAGTCTTAGTGTTTGTATTAGTTTAGTAATATAAGATAAAATGTGTTTGTTTGTCGTGTGTGTTGGTATTAATTAGTGGGTCCCACAGATTGTTATTCCAATCCCCTTTCCCAAACCCCCAATCAAACATGGCCTTAGTGAATTAGCTTAAGCTACTTAGTTCGGTTTTGGTTTATTTGAATGATAACAAATCCCAACTGGACAATCTGTGTGTTTGGTACTGAGAGCTTTTAGGTTATGTATGAGAATGCCAAGGAATATACTTATCTACCTCTGGAAGAATTTGGAAATAAGCAGTAAACATGTCAGAGCAATCGAATGTTGCAGGTTAAGCAAAGTTGGAATTGTTGATCGGTGATGTAGAATTTTTTAATTGGGTAGTATTTTATAGTGTTGGTTTGAGTTAGGGGCACAATTTTTTTTGTACTCTGCAGTACATAAAAATGCAGCATCTTGTATCAGTATTATGCATTTGCATTTTTGACACTTTTAAAAAAAATTACATTTGAAATTTGATAATTTAATATGGGCATGCTATGGTACACACCCTTGTCATAATTAGATCTTTTTGAGTAATAATTTAAAAAAAAAAAAAAAAAAAAAAAATCATAGCCAAACACTTTTGAATCATAACCAAAATAATGTCATAATAACCAACATCACAATGAGTCATAAATTACATCACATGAGTCATAACCAAGTCATAACTATTATGGTTATAACCAAAGACCACAAAAATCATAACTGGGGCATATGGTACACACCTCAAAAAGGGGTGTGGATCATAGAACTTCCTATAATATATATATATATATATATATATTTCTAGTAGTTCAAAATAAAAAGAAAAAGGGAAAAATGTTGCAATCTTTCAGCATCTGTGATCTGGATAACAGTATATACATACACTACTTCAATATTTTATACCAAGCACATTTTATTTCCGAATAACTTTTTTGTTCTGTATGTATCTTATGTGTAGAGATGATGGGAAAAGAGGGCTTTGACCATAAACTTAGTGTTAGTAGACTTAGAATTTAACTGGTGCATGTTATGATGCTTGTTTGATTGAATTTCATTTGCCATTTTACTTGATTGACAAACTAAATGGTTTAAAGTGATCTCTCAGTAGACCATCAACTTTTTGGTCTCGTAAACAATCTTGTGCCATTTGCCAAGCACATCTAGTGAACTGCATCATGCCATTTACTTTTCTCTTTCTTGAACCTGAAAGTCAATTGCAGAGGTGGGCTTGGCAATTGTTGAGCCCTCACGGCTTGTGCCAATTGTGGATGCTGGGTTAGGCAGGTTGTCTTGCTACCAATTATGTAAAGTTATCCTTAATATGGTGTTTACTATTCTAGGATGCAGCCAAAGTAAAAGCAATATTTATGCTTTTGACGCACATATGTTTACATTTTTGTAAACCCCTCTGTTTATGTTCCATTTTTTGGTGAACTTGGTGTATATTGTTTTCTCTATGTATCTTTTTCCATATGTTGAATGCCGTAATTTATTCCATTCTCATAGTAATCGAGATTACTAATTTATAATTTTCCTCAATGTTCAAACTTCAACAAGATATATATATATATATAAAATCAAAAAATGGCTTGTGCTAGTACGTGAAATGTCATCTTATCTAACATGTGACTACAGTGACAAGCCTCAAGTGGTTGTTCTCTTATGAAGAATAATTCTAGATGTGAGAATGTTAGTTACTATTAAAATGTTCTTTATTTCATCTATAATGCTTGAATGTATGTGCAATATTAAAGGGATGGGATACTAGTATCTGTTGTCCCACATGGTCTCACCAAATGATCTAGAAAATTAAGTAGCATCATGTTCAGTTGCTTTTTGTTTTTCAGTTTTTATGGTGGACAACCTATTAGCTTAGAAATTTGGGTCAGCACACCTCTAGTGGATCTTGAAAACTCAATTGCAGCAACTACTGCAATGAGGAGGCCTCTAGATGTCATTAGGCCACCAGGTGGTGGTATGAGGAGAGTTGCTAGCTATGCAATCCGGATTGAAGAAAAGATCGACCGCAACTTTTTATGTAGCACACTTGTGGAATGCATATTTCAGCCATAGAAAATATTCGATTAGGGTCAATGTGTTTAAAGTATTGTAGAGAATGTATTAGGAAAAGAGAGAGATCCAAGCTATGATTGTGTGTGGTGCATGGTATTTTTAGTTTTTGGGTTGGGGTGGGGTGGGGTGGGGTGGGTGACCTCTGGTTTGATTTGAGTCTTTTTTTTTTACCCCATTCTTGGAGTAGAGGTGTTTGAGGGGAAATTGGAGGAAGGTGTGGGAGTTATTCCTCTTTGCATTATGAGGTGCTTGTGGAATCAGAGGAACAATTCGTCTTTTGTGAATGTAGAGAGTTTGGTTTCACGCTGAAAACTCTTTTTCTATATTTTAGGTTTAGGGAGACATTTCATTATTCCTTTTTGGGTTTTTGTTGACTTTTTTGGGGAGGTGTATGCATGTATAGATCATAGTTGTCAAATCGAGAATTGTGTCATGAATCAAAATCTTAATTTTGTGAATCCAATCGAATCGAGAATCTTTAAGATTTAATACAAACTATAAAAATAATGATGTTATACAATTGTATATTTGAAAAAGAATGATTTAAATTGATTTTGGCAGATATTATAATATAGTTCTTATACAAGGATATGATTACACTATCTAATTGGGAATGCATTGGCTTCATATCAAGAGACGGGGATGCAAATCCATCCAATTATATAATTATTCAACAATCAAAGTATAATCTCTCTTGACATAAAAAATGGACTGAGAACTGTATGTAGTGTAATATGAAGAAAGAATTGAGTCAAATATTTCATTTTGAAACCTAAAACACTTTAAAAGAGGTGTATGGTTATTGTTTAAATATTTTTTAAAAAAAGTAACGAAATCATTGGGTCTAACTAATCTCACTGATATAATATTGAACCATATTTCTTTCACTAAAATAGCAATAAATAATTCATGGGTGTACGCTTTTTTGAAGGAAAAAAATGAGAAAAAAGAGATGAAGAGCATAATGGATCTAACGGGGTCTGATTGGATCCTATTAAAAACTCTTTTACACTAAAATAACAATAAATCATATATATTTGTTAAACACTCTTAGAAGTATTATGTCATTTTCAAAAAAAAAGAAAAAGAAAAAAAAAAGAAAAAAAGAGAAGGTAAAAAATGGTCAAAATCTGTTGGACACAGTGGTTTTAAAAATTACATCAATCGTAAGAAGAGGTGACTCCTAAGATTCCATAGTTTCTATCCCAAAATAAATTCATCAATAGATTCGTATCGATTTTTGAAAAATCACGAATCGAATCACAAATCATAAGATTATGATAACAAAGGTATAGATGTATGGGGGAGTTAATTTTTTATTTTTTTTGTATACGCTTTTTGCCTCAAATTCTTTTCTTACCAAAAAAGGAAAAAAAGAAAAAAAGAGATACCCAAGAGGTGAACCATGTTTATCTAAACAAGTAGATAGATTGAAGTCCATTGAAAGCTAAACAAAACCATGCAGTGACATCTCTCACTCCCATCTGAAGATCCGCAAATGGAGGAATGATAGATATTTTTTTTTTTGGTCTTGAAAGTTAGCAACTCCATTTTTCTGATATAGTTTCTATTGTATCTTCTCATGTACATTGTATTGGCAATAGTAGTTCTATTCCTTAACTCTGTCAGCACTAAAAGCAAATGTGAATCTGACTTAGGCAGCACCTACTTGCACTAAATAATTGAAAGCAAAGAACCATATATGTTTTAAACTCCCAGCCCACCATGCAATGCAGGAGCCACTATTCTGAAATTTCTTTCTTTACACAATTGATCTATTTTAGTCCAGTTCCTTCCAAATAAATAAACTATTTCAGCCAAGTTCCTACCAAACAAGGGGGTGGGCATATATGTTGCGTGTGCTTGAAAATCTAACAATTCTAATAATTCACAATTGAAGTAGTTGAGAGAGGTTTCAAGCTGTTACCAAATAGTTCACAATCCAAGCAGTTGAGACTTGAGAGTGATTGCCTGCCAAATTTTAGGTGATATGGAAGTTATTTAAAGGAGAGTGAATGTGACACAACACAACTTCTATAAAAAAATCTGTAATCACTTTTTGTGTCTAGTGGTCATATTTAAAATAAAACATTATCATTCAATTGTGAATTATTGTAGTGTGTGTGGAAATTATGCATCATTCATTACAATTTCAACCCTAGATAGGTAACATGCCTAGTTTTTCATATTTTTTCTTCATTTTCTTTTGGGATTAAATTAGGTTTGGAATATGATTGTTTACTAATTTTCTGAATCAATCATATAATTGTTTCCTATGCGGATTGTTGGCAACGTGGCCAATGACGTGCAATGGAAAATAGAATGGATCGTATCTTTCTTATCCTCCTGAAATTGGAGAATTTTTTGACACAAGGTTAGAGAAATGTATGTATATATAATATATATATATATATATATATATTGTTGTTGCAGGTCTAAAAAAGGGTAGAAGGGGGAGACCCATGCATGGCAAAACATCACAAAAACAACAATAACAATATAGAGAAAACCCAATAGAGATAATAAAACTCCAAATCGAAACTTCTAAGAACAACCCAAGAAACCCATTAACGAAATTAACATACCTAATGGTTACGAGACAATGAAACAGAACAAAAATCAAGGCCAAAAAAATATATATATATATATACACATGTATATATTATATATATTATTTGGTATATGTATGTGTATACACACAGCACGTTTCACATTCCAAAATAATAATAGAAAAAAAAAGAAAAAAAAAAAAGAGAGTGCAGACGGGTGTGTGCGGGTGCAGATAAAACGCGCAACCCATTCGCCACAAACAACATAGAAATAGTGGGAACCGCATCCGACCCTATTGCAAGTTCCAAACCGCCCTCACATGCGCGGTTCGAACCGGATTGGGTGGTTTTCGCGGGTTGGATGACCCTATGCCCTGCCCTAACTGTGCAAGTGATTTTGAATGAAATTCTAAAATTATATGATACTTAGCCAAAATTTTCTAGGCCCAACATGTTAGTATGTAAAGGACAATTTAAGATGTTTTACTTCCTAAACCTCGTGAACAAGAAGCGTGTTCTTTATGAAGGATAGATTAATATTTTCTTTTGCCTTTTTCTGGACAATCTTACCCTAAATATATATATTAAAGATTTGAATCAAATCTATTAGTGATTGATGTTGAAATTTTGTTCAATGATCATTGTTGGCCATTGTTCAATGATCAAATCTAGACCAGAAGGAATAAAGGCTATTCGTTGGACTAAATTCAAAGTTCAAGGTATCCACTATTCGGTTGATGATTTCCTCCACCATTTGTAGTAGATTGGGGATATCAAGTATCTTCCTGGGGAATTTTTTTATGATTTGTTAACTGAATTTATTTATGTTAGTTTGCTCTAATTTTTTTTGTTTTTCCCTTTTCTAGTTTGTGATTTGAATTGTTGTTTGTTGATTGTTGTTGATTTGTTTGTGACCTTGTAGTGAAAGAACTCGTAAAGTTACATTTAGTTCACACTTTATTTTTTTTCTTACTGATACCCTATTCAAGAAGATAGTAAAGTATTACTCTGGTAGTCAATAATATTTTACTATGAATAAGAGTAAAATGTTACTGTGAATCAGAGTAACATTTTACCGTTAAATAGAGTAAAATGTTACTTTTATGTCAATTTCAATGTTAATTTTTAATTTTTATTTTTAAAGAATTTCATAGTCAATCTGAATCTTGTTTGATAGATCTTGATGAGAGTATTCTAAAAATATTAATTTTATTAAAAACCGGCATTTAGATCAAAAGTTATATCATTTTAGAGTTTAAATATTAAATTACTCACTCCGGATATTTTGGTAATAATGGTGTGTGTTGTACTTTTCAATGAAAACTTTTTATGCTTGTCCTTAATGCATTAAAGTTTTATTTTGAGGAGATTTTGACTAAATTTTCCAAATAGACTTTGATATATATACTTTAGGAACCTAGTGGACACAATCGATAGTTCAAAAACTAAATAGATTTTGATTCATATACTTTAGGGACTAAATAGATTCAATTGATAGTTCAGGGATTAAATAGATAATTTGAAGGTAGTTTAGGGATAGAAAGTATAATAAACTCTTTTGTTAAATTAAAAATTCTGACAATAAAATATTTATAATTTATAAAATTATAGGAACAATCCATATTTTAAGGGAAAGACTATGGTACGCACTCCTCAAAGGGTGTGTAGGAGTGTACCATATGCACCTTGTAACTAGAGAAGAAAATGACATAGTTTCATACTTTTTGAGTTATAACTAAAAAAAAAAATAAAAATAAAGTCATAATCAAACTTAAAAGAGTCATAACTAAAATCTCAAAATAATGTCATAACTAAAGAATAAATTTGGTCATAATTAAAGAAAAAAATAACATAATTAAAGGTTCATATGACATGAGGTGTGTATAATAGAATTCTCTATATTTTGAACAAATAAGTGCGCTCGTAATTTACCCCCCCCCCCCCCCCCCCCCCCCAAAAAAAAAAGCTTATTTATTACTCTAGTTTAAAGATTCTCTGGTAATAGTAGAAACTGTATCTGAAACAAGGGAAGGTCTAACTCACTACTTTGCTGTTTCATTCTCTCGCCGGGGACTAGAAGAGGTCGAGTTGACCCATTTTCAGCTATATCTTTCTGGGTTTCCCCCTCTCTCTCTCTCTATATATATATATATATACACCTGCAACTATTTTTTTTCAATGGAATCGTTGGAGATGAGACTTTATGCATTTGGGTTTGTATGTTCACCATCAAATTTGAGGAAATAGCCATTTTGCTTATATATTTGCCTTTTTTTACTTTGAATTTCTAAATTGGTGGTTTGGTCAGATCTTATGCTCACTACATGTTTGATGAAATGCGCATTACTGTTGGAATGTGAAAAATCTATGGTATCCTTGTCTTCCTATTGAGAACCATTATAACTGTTTTGGGCGGTAATCTCTCAGCATTTTCGCCATTGATTGGTAGAAGTTCTACTTGCACAATTGCCAGAACCATGCAATTTGATTTTATTGGTTTTTGTCATTTTCCAATTTCTTAATATGGAATCAAGAGACTAGTGAGTTTGCAAAGTTGTTCCACAATCTATATTTACAATTACTACACAATCCCTAGTTAATTCTAGCCAAAACTTCATCAGCTAACCCTAACACCTTACTTTTTTATTTTTTACATGTAATACATAATATGTTCAAATCAAAATTTGTGGCACACGGCACACCCATTACTTGAAGCATAGGCAGCCCTACTTTACATTCTTTTTGTTCCATTAGGGAATCAGTTCAATCATTTAATGATTGGTCCTTTGTCCAAATATAATATCTCTAACCTAGGATTCATGGATTGAAGTAAGATAGGTGAGACTTGAGAGTTGTTGGCCTCACTCAATAAAAAGAACAAAATCTCTCTGTAATAGCTTAGCAAGCCACAACTTTGATTGAGGCTGTGTGAGGAGGAAAACTCCCCAAATCCCTTTCATAATGAAACCTTTTGAAATGATAATTTGGTATGATAATTCATATTTGCATTTGGGGTTCTATGGTTGATTGTGATTCTTCTTAATTCTTTATTACCAATTTGTTTTTCTCCTAGTTTTATTAATTTGCTTTATTACACAGAAATCTATTCACTATCATGTTCATTTCAAGAGTTTTTGGGAGGACCCTCTTTGCTGCAGCCAAATCAGAAGCTTCTGCTGCAGCTGCCGCAGCTGCTTCTACAGCTAGAACAAGCTACAACCCTCTTGAGGAGTTCTTTGAGGTAGATAGAAGCGCAGAAGATGACAAACCTGTTGTCTATGGTAGAAACTTTTCCTTTTAATTATTTTGTGCTGCTATATATCTATGCACATATGTATGCAATATACATACACAATCTCTAAATTGGATTCTTATTTTCACTAAACCTGGTGTTTGTTTGTTGCATTTATTGAACATATTCCAGCGATCTGATGTAGATGAGTATATTTTGGTAAAGGAAGGGCCATATTTCTTGCAAGAACAAAAAACAATAAAATAATATATTGTAGAAGAATTTGAGTATCTGTCTGCTCTTATTCAATTTTATACTGGACTGGAAGTATGAAAAGTTCTGCCATGGTTTGAAATCCAGAAATAGTATAACTAAGAGTTAAAGGTTTTGAGTACCACTCATTGAGAAATTCAACAGAAAAATGAACTAAAAGACGAACTGGTAGGAAAAATGGGTGTGGAGTCTAGCTTTATTTCTCATCTCATTTTTGCAAATGATACCATGACTTTTTTCATGCTGAGGAGGATCAGATATTTATATATGTATATATATATATAAGATGTGTGTTGATCTTGTTTGAAGTGAAGTTTGGTTTGTAGGTATATTTGAATAAGAGTGAGCTGAATCCTGTGAGAAAGGTGCAAGATATTAATACTCTTGCTTTGAATTTGTGACGGCTCTTCCTCCTACTTATATCTTCCTAGTGGATTTTCTTGGAAGGCTACTGTGAGGCAATTTGATTGAACACTTCAAAAGCGGGTTGATGGGATGAAAAAGGTACTAGTATGATTCTCTCTAAGGGAGGAAAACTCACCCTCATTAAAAGCACTTTATCTAGCCTTCCTATGTACTTTTTATCCATTTTCACTATCCTAGCTTTTGTAGCTGAGTGGTTGAAAAAGCCTCATAGGAATTTCTTGTAGGGTGGTCTGGTGAGGAGTTCAAGTGCCACCTTGTGAATTGGGGCTGATTGCGATAAAGGAAGGAGGTTTGAGTATTTGATAGTTTATAGTATAAAACACTATTACCCTCTCCCCTTCCCCTCATATGAAGTTCAACGTCTTCCTACCAACTTTAGTTCACCTCTGGAAGGGCTCTTTGGGGTTAAAGTCCTTTATCCCATTTAGCCTCTAGAGGCCTCTTGCACTAAATTGCTGGATTTGGTGGCCCTAAAAAGCTTGAGCCTACCTTCAATATGAAGAACCAATATTTCCTTATATGGAGCCATCGTCACTAGGGCAGAGGGAGGGAGGGGCACCGGGGCAGTCTTGGCCCCTGCAAAGTTTTCAATCTTTTTGTTAGTAGTGGTTTACTATTATAGTCATGGTTTTAAAAAGCGGCCGCAACCGTTACGTAACGCCGTTACGTAACGGTTGTGGTGGTTACCGCCACCCGTTACGGCCGCTATAGCGGTGTGATGGAAATTCACATGTGTAACGGCCGTTTCGGTGTTACGTAACGGCCGTAGCGGTGCCGTAACGGTCCGTTACACACCGTTACACCGTTTTATAATATTCTGAATAACTTTCTTTTCCAAAAACATAAATAAATAAAAGCTCATAAAAAAAGAACAAATACTCGAGTGATCCAAATTCAAAGAAAAAAATCTTATGTGAATTTATTTCAAGGTTTCAAAATGCTTCGTTTCGTAACGGTTGCAGTGTGATTGAGATTCACAAGTGTGGCGGCCGTAACAACCCATTATGCATTGTTATGTAATGGTTCCAAATAGCTTCTTTCGAGAGAAAAAAATACTGAAAAGGTGAGAAGAGGGATAGAGTGAGAAGAGGGAAGATAAAGAGAGAAAATGGAGAAGTAAGAGATAGAGAGAGAGAGAGAGAGAGAGAGAGAGAGAAGAGGGAAGATGAAGAATCTGTTATTGATTTGTTGAAGATGATGTTGCCGATTCATCTTGCAGGGAGAACTTCACTCAATCATGTAATCTTTGTTTGAAATAAATAAATAATAATAATAATAACAAGTGTAATCATTATGTATTTGGCTATGAAGCATGGACACTCCAAAATTGATGCCGTAGCAGTGTCCGACACGCGGACACGCCGGGGACACGGGGACACGCCGTGGACACGTACGGGACACGCCAGATGGCGTGTCCCTTTAATTTAATGATTTTTTTGGAAGGGGACACGGCAGGGACACGGAGGGGACACGCGTGTCCATTTCTGGACACGCCATGGGACACGGCGGGGCTCCTTTTTGAATTTTTTATATTTATTTGGGGTCAAAGTATAATATTTATAAAGTAAAAAAAAAAAAAAAAAAAAAAAAACAACGGGAAACCCTAATCGAACAACTGAGTAAAGGAATAAAATGAAACCTGCAAAGACTTTCTCTCTCTCAGTCGAAGCCCTCTCTCTCAGTCGAAGCCCTCTGAAGTTGATCGAAGCTCTATCTCTCACTCGCAGCCCTCCGACGTCGATCGCAGCCCTCTGACGTCGATCGAAGCCCTCCGACGTCGATCGAAGACCAGTGATCCAGTCGTCTCAGTCTCTGACTCAGTCGATCCAGTCGTCTTCGAAGGTAAGCCCCTCTCTGCGTCTCTCGCTCTCTCTCTTTCGCCTGTCTCCTCTTTCGCTCTCTCTCTCCCTCTCAGCTTTCGACTGAGATGGTTGATTTTTATTTTTTTATTTTTTATTTTTACGTTTATACGTTATATGTAACAGAGTCTTTTTTTTATTTATTTTTTATTTTGATATATATTAATAAGACTTTTTTTTTATTTTTTATTTTGATATATATTATATGTAAGACTCTTTTTTTTTATTATTTTTTTTATTTTTATTTGTTTATATATATATGTAAGAACTTTTTTTTTTTTAATTATATGTTTATATATATGTATATATATAAAATTGTATTTAAATTCTGTTTTTTTTATTTAAACTCTTTATTTAGATGAGGTTGTTTTTTTTAATTATATGTTTAAATTATGTTTTATTTAAATTCTATTTAAGCTCTTTTTTTTGTTTTTTTTTTTTTGTTTTAATTTATCCTTCTAATGTTAATGTTTATTTATCCTTCTAATGTTAATGTTAATTTATCCTTCTAATGTTTTTTTTTATTTTTTTTTCCCCTTATATTTAATGTTGGATGTTGGATGTTGAATCTTTTGCCTCTCTTATATTTATTGAATTAATGGTACTATATTAGTGTTTGGATGATGTTGCCGATTCATCTTGCAGGGAGAACTTCACTCAATCATGTAATCTTTGTTTGAAAAAAATAAATAATAATAATAATAAGTGTAATTATTATGTATTTGGCTTGATTAAAATATATATATATATATATTTAGGCTCTTATTTATTCTCTTTTTAGTTAGTAATTGATTTTTTGTAAAATATCTAGAAAACATAACACCTATAATTATATATTAATACATATTTTATATATGCCAATTTTTGAAGAAAATTTTGTCACAACTTGTAATATGGATTTCTGACATATAAAGTCATTAATTATTAAAATAAAATGTAAAAAACTCAGTTGGTAGTGATTTAAAAATATGAAATATATTGGATCATACTTAAAAATTAACAAAAATTGATCAAAATTTATTTTAAAACCCAATAAATATGATTTTGGAAAAAAATATGCGTATCGGTAAGTTTTTTTCAAATTGTGTGAAAAATAAAAAAAAATTCACGGTTCCGATTACCGCAACCGTTACGCTACGGCCTTTACACCCCGCAACTGCAACCGTGCCACCGCTACCGTTACGGTGACCGCAACCGCTTTTCAGAACCTTGATTATAGTCCTCCAAAAGAAAATGGGAAATGGCCTCCCCAAATAGAAAGTTTGTCGAAGAATTTGCTAATCCTTGTTTTTAATGATAGTTCTGCCATTTGTTGTGTACATGTCTTCATCTTCTTTTTGTTTTGAAGGCTGAAATGTCAATTGATGGCGTATAGAGAAATGGTTTGTGTTTGTGGTGAAAACAAAAAATGTTCAATAATGCTATAATGATCACATTTGTGTATCGTAAATTATTTATCATCTCATGTGTTACCATTGCATTGGTAACAAACATAAGTAGTTGGGCCTTTTATACCACTACAATGATGACATATAAGATGGTAAACATTTTATGGTATACAAATGTAGTCATTGTAACATTAATAAAAAATATTTTATAATATATGAGTTGACCCAACTACTAGTAGTCAAAAGGAAAAAAAATAAAATAAATTACTAATCGATTTAACAGTCAATATCTTTACAGTAATGTTAGGGTCACTATCAAACATAGCGGTAAATATACCAGGTACACAATGTGAAGTGGGTTTCATGTCAAGTGGTGGTACCCAAATGTAAGTCTTGTGTCTTGAATGATACGTTTGTTGATATATTTGTTAGTGTCCTATCATTAGTGTTATTTATATTTAACTTCTTTTTTTTTTTAATTTTTTTTTTATCCTTTTTGTTTTTTCTTGTTAAATGAATACTATGAGTAGGTCTTAACTTTTATTTATTTATTTAGAATTACGATCAATAAAGATGCCATTGTGTTTGATTAAGACAAGTGTGGTTTAGGAAGCTTCCCTTATAATAGCTTTTCAGAATTGGGGTAAAAGCAAATTGCTAGCTTCTTGGAGAAATTATATAATGTCAAAATAAGTGGGCTTGGGGAAGATGAATTAAAGTAGAAAGGCAAAGGGGAAAAGTTCACTGTTAAATCTTTCTACTCCATTTTAAGTAGTATGGGAGGCAAGACCTTACCATGGAATCATGTATGAAAATTGGGAGTTTCCATCAAAGTAGCATTTTTTTGTTTGGACACGGGCCTTGGATGCTATCCTCACAATAGATAATCAAGGGAAAATGGGATTGTTTTTGTTGAGGAGTAGGTGGATCATTTGTTAGTTCATTGTGATGTAGCTAGAGAACTTTGGAGCTTATTGGTTTCTATATTTGGTGGGTGGTGGGTTATATTAGCTACTATGCATCAGCTTTAGGATTGCTCGGCTCAGGGGTGCCACACGAAGAAGGTGAAGAAGGCTTGGAGGGAAGCTCCTATGTGTTTAGTGTGGTGCTTTTAGAGAGAAAGAAACCAGTGCACTTTTGAGGATGTACAAATGGCTCTATGGAGACTCAAGCTTAATTTATTACACTTTTTTTTCTTTTTTGTAGTTTTGGGCGTATTCCTTTTTGTTGGTGTATTTCATTGGAAAATTACATCTTGGGGAGGGCATATAGTGTCACGCCCCGAAATAATTCAACATGAACCCCTAAAAGAACAAACATTCACTATTCAATGACAATAACTCCTCCATCTTCATATATATAATAAATGGGTTTAATACAAAGTTCCACATGCAGTATACATTCACAACACAAAAGAATATATGAATCTATAGCATGTGAAGTACCAAATCTTGGAATAATAAAATGCCCCTTAAGGGCTTACATCTTCCAATGCAACAGCCCGGTTGCACAAAAGTGGACCCATACATGTTAGCCCTTGGCTTTACAAAAAGAAAACACAACAAAAGAAGAGCCATGTGCTCTTTACAATTATCCGCGCTCTCAACTCGGCGGGATCACCACGTCCTTACCTGCACCAAATCCCATAGGGGTGAGCATAAAGCCCAGTAGAAAAATACCAAACAAAGTATATACATTAATGTTAGATGGCCAGAAATTGAATGCAAGTGTACATACAATGCACAATACTCCTTTCAAGATATTATCCATGCACTTCGTTTACAATTACAGTCTCATAAATTCTCAAATTTCAACTTTTTAATCACGAGGGGTAGTAAATACGACACTGGTAATCCCTAGGTTGGCATCTGGAAGTAGACTCTACGAGTACTACCAAACTATCATTTTTACCGCTATTAACCGGAAGGCTCGACACCTATCTGCGCGGTTTTTTGGTCTTTCACCATGGATACTCAGGCCAATTTATAAAATTCATTTACACCCCCTAATCCGTACTTACTACCTTATTTACCCCATTCACAGTTTCATAGCTCTCATTATAGTGTAATCCTTCTCAAAATGACATGATGAGAATGTGTAATGATAATGATAATCAAATGGGGACATGATGCAATGCAAAATATCTCTTTACATTTCTTCATCTCAAACATCTCTACAACAATAACAATTTACTACCTTATTTATTCTTCTTCTCAACCTTATCATACAGTGACCATACCTTCAACTTAAAGCAATAACAATTTCTCAACATGCCCAATTCACAGCAAATTAGTCCCTTGAAGACTACGTGTGATGCCTTTCAAACATCAACTCTAATGTTTTCAAATTTCACAATTTAAGTTGCACAACCATTAATTTTCTCACTACAAGGCATTTTCAATGTTCAACAAAATGTTAGGAAACTCATTTCTCATATGCCAAGTTGATAGTCATTTTTTTGCTAAACATACTATTAGAGCTCACTCTCTATTTGTACAACAAGAAGATGCCCTTAAATATGTTACATCTTTCAAGACTACCCAAAAATTTAAGGTTTTAAGTCAAAATCAACAAACATCTCTCCCCTCCTTTGAAGGAGTTTTCTTTTCAAAATAATACCTCCCATTATGTAGGTTTAAGATCCTCAAGAAAATAGTTTAGGAGGAGAGGGAGATCAAACCCATTTTTTGAAAAACCCTAGCATTTATGAGGCAAACCAAACTTTTCAAAATCATTAATGGAACCTTTAAATCAACCAAATCCAACACAACTATATATATAACTCAAGGAAATTTCCCTACCTCAAAGTTTTGGAGAAGATTGGAAGAAGAAACCTAGAATCAAGGATGAGAGAGCTTGACTTCCACCACACCAAATGGGGCTCCAACCCTTGATCTTCAAAATTGGAGGGAGAAGATGATGATTCTCAACTCAAGATTTGCAAGGATCAAAGTCTAAGGGTGTTTGGGGAGGTTTTCTAGAGAGAAGGAAGAGGAAAATATGGTTTAGATTGAGAGAGAAGTGTCAAAAATGAGATACACTTCCGGACCAAAAAGGAAAAAAAACAGGGATTTTCGGACTGCTGAGTGCCGCACGTGCGGCACCCATCCCAGCACGTGCGGAGCGCCCCTTCCCGCACGTGCGACCCTCATCCTCGCACATGCGGGAATCCTCCCGCACCTGCTTTTTAAGCAGTGTGCTCCCCAGCCAAACACCTCTCTTCCCGCACGTGCGGCTTGGCCTCCCGCACGTGCGGCCCAACCCCGCACGTGCAGCCATGGCCCAGCAACCTAGCAGATTTTCGCTTCACTCCCGGGCACTTTGGACCTGACCCCACGTTCTCCGGAACTAATGAAAATTGACACCGAACAAGACAAGAATAATAGTTTTCGATTGGGAACGTCCCCCGAACATTTCAAATCCAACGACAGCCAAAAGAGAACGACACCAAAAGAAGGAAATGAAAGAGAGAAAGAGAGACCCGGTCATCACATATAGTGATGGAGGCTGGTGGATCATTTGCTTCTTCATTGTAATATTGTTAAGGAGTTGTGGACTTATTGTTTCCAATTTGGAGGGTACAATGAATGATCCCATCCTCACAATGGATGTTGTTGGAGTGTTGGGGTATCGTTTGTTTGTGGAAGAACAAGAAGAAAGCTTGGATGGTGGCACCTCCATGGTGATTGTGGAGAGAAATGAATAGATGCATTTTTAAAGAGATGGAGTTAGGAGTTCAAAAGCTTAAGCTGAGCTTTTGCATAGCTTCATTTTTGGTGCAAATATTTATTTGTTTATTTTTTTTTGTGAACCCTCTTTTCTTCTTGTAGATTTCACAAGGGAGCTCAATTTTTGGATTACCTTTTTGATCTCTTATAATTTTTATGCGTTGCTCCTCTTTTGGCGCCTTTTCTTTAATATAATTCTTTACTTACAAATAAATACCATTACTTTACTTAGAAAATATGAGGAAGAAGAACTCCGAAAATATGAGGAAGAAGGAATATTATATTATATACATTAACACAAATTTCCAGCAACTTTTTTATGAGATGGATAAAAAAAAGACTGATGTAAAGGAAGAGTCGGGTGCTTGTTTTTCAATTTGAGTCATTCCTCCATTTTAGATCTCTTGGAGTAGTATAAAGCTTTTAATGATATTGTGTGTCCAAATATACCACCAGTAGTTAACACTTACTAATTTTCGTTTCTGATCTCTTTCTCAAATCTTAAATATTGCTGTCATTTACACATGCTTCAGATGGCTCACCAATGATTTCATTTATTAGAGTACTGTCCTTTTAAATTCTTTTTAACATGTTGATTTTAATAATATTCTCTTTGAACTTTTTGTACTTGCGCTCTCTCTCTCTCTCTTTCAGGTCGAAGTTGGAAGGCTTCTGAGCTCCGTCTTAAATCTTGGGACGATCTTAACAAGCTGTGGTATGTTCTGTTGAAGGAAAAAAACATGTTGATGACTCAACGCCAGATGCTTAATGCACAGAACCTACGGTTTCCTAATCCAGAGCGTATCCCCAAGGTCTAAATCAGATTCTTTGGTTATCTTTTTGTACAATCATTATATGTTTTCACCAACACTTGTTCTTTATGAGTTGAATGAGCTTACTGTTTTCCTTCCAACCCTATACAGCTGTGCACTGCTGGTCTTGGTTTCATTAATTTTATGATATTCTCGCACTAGAAATGCACAGGATTTTTGTTTTACAATGTTTTAACCAAATAGGATTTTTAGTGTTCTGAATAAATTATTCTTGTTTTTTTTTTTCACTGCAGCTAAAATAGGTGCCTCCAAGTGGGCAAGTTTGCGTTGTGTCCTTGTGTTGTGTTTTCCTGAGGTTCGAGTCCATGTAGCATTATGGGGATGCCAAGTCTTAGTCATTGTCAAACTGTTTTGTCTTCACTATGGATTTCTAATCTAAATGGTAGTCAAGATTATATAAAATAAATAAAAATCTAAATGGTAGTCAGTTGTCTACTTTGAATGCAAAATTGAATTGTTGTCTAGCTGCAAAAAGGTTATTTTTAATGCAGAAACTGAATTGACCCTATATAAGCTTCCCTGTGTTTTTTTCTTCTCTTAGCTGCAAACTTACTCCTATCTTTGTGGTGATCCATATGCTTGCCACATCTAGTTCAAAATTAGAAATTCTACGATTTTGATTTATGTTGCTTGGTTGCCAGGAAAATGGAAAAAGAAGGAAGTATATGGTATTTAGCATGTTTTGAATTCTTTTTGCTCTAGGCCGTCTTTTCTTGTCTCTTAATCGGGCTTGTGGTTGGTGATGAAATGAAATTCAGGTCAGGAAGTCTATGTGTCGGATCAAGCATGTACTTACTGAAAGAGCTATCGAGGAACCAGATCCAAGGAGGTCTGCCGAGATGAAGAGGATGGTAAATGCTCTATGATGACATCCAATTTGCTTATCTTTCGGCGTTTGTGCTGATCAGGTTTTGTCGGTTGACTTTAATGGTGCCTTTTGTTAGTCTTCTTGTCAGTGCATAGGGTTTTGGCTAGAACTTGTATCCATGAACAACTAGCTTCTAGTGATTTTATCGATAGCTTCATATATATTTCAGGGCAATCAGTAATGTAAGCAATGTTTTGATTCATTACAACAAACCCTAGCAACATATAGCCCACAGTGGTGTTGGGAATAATTGGTAGACCTTCATATCTTGTGGGCTGTATGACTATTCTCTTTCCAAGTTTTGCTATTACTGCCAGAGTACTTCACATGCTTTCTCTCTCTCTGCATACAAATGGTATGTGGCATAATTACACTTGAAAATCAGGAAAGTGCTTAGAATTTGAAAAGCGTTAATCAGATTTATTTACAGAAAGGTAGAAGGGGAGTGATCAACTATGGCAATCCTCTTTAGGTGTGAGCAAAGAGCCCCTATCTACTAAAGAGTCAGACCAGATAAGCCTAAACATGCCTAACAAAGTGGGGGTGCTGCACACGGAAAAATCCCTTGAGACTGGCTTTGATCCCATCCCAGCTCCGTAAGAGTGCTAGTGAGTAGAAACTGAAAGCAGAGGTGGATGGGAACTATATTGCCCTAATGGAAACTTGAACCTAGAGCCACTTACCAAACGTAGTAGGAGTTAGCTTCCAACCATTAGGCTAACACCTTAAGAGGTATGGATTAGACTCATCTTGGATGCGGTCTACACTAAATTCTAGTTACTTTTTTAAATAGATGATATACAATATACATGTAAATTTTAAGCATATATATAGGTTATTTGTTTTAATGTTACAAAATGAATGTCTGGTTTTTACATGCATAATTAATTGGAAGTAAGGAGACACCATAAATGTAAACTATTGGCATAAACTGGTCAATCCTATATTATATTCCATATTCCATTATTTTTTATCTCAAATTTATTTAGCCATCACATAAAGGGCATGTCCATATCCATATATATTAAATTTACCATATATATATTGGTTGATTAAAAAGCAAGAATCAATTATGCAGCTGAACATTACAGGCACGTGGCATTGAAGTGATAAGGTAGTGGTGAACATTAATCTATCTGGTTCTCATATTGGAGAACCCCTTCATCAATTGCATGCATTTGGGAATGGCTTTTAATTGGTTGAACTGGATTTAATTTTGAGTCAGAATGCATTTCTGTCTTCTGGGAAAAACATGAGCATAATATATATTTGTAAAGCATGTATTGCCCACAGTTATTGCTTCCACTGACAGTCATGTCCTTTAGTTATGAATTGTTAAATGAATGCCAAATGTCATAGTGCATAGACACATATAGGACTGAGCAAGGAATCCGTGAAATCCGTAATTCAATCTAGTTCAGTCAAATCCAGTAGGTTTGGATTGATTTTTTGAATCCGTGGTTCGATTTCGGATTGAAAAATTAAAAATCCGTAATTCACGGATTGGTTCCGGATTGAACCCCACGGTTCCGGATTGGAACCAATCTGAACCATATGCAAATAGTCTATATTTTTATTATACACCCTCCTGCATAGTATCTTATCTTATTTCATATAAAACTTAAATTCAAGCCTAAACTTGCATAATATCTTCTTTTATTACTTTTGTTTGCTAGTTTTTAGTGTTAATTTGTAATGGTTTAAATACTTATGGTGGAATTAGTTTTCTTATGGTTGTTTTAAATTTTAGAACAGTTTATCGCTATTATGAAAAGATATGTTGTTATTGTGAAACTAATATAATACTATATTTATATTTTTATGAAATTAAAGTGTTATATATATTTTTTTGTTATTTAATTATGTAAATCCGTGGTCCTAAACCGATCAAATCTGTGTTTAAATGGATTGGTTCGGATTGGTTCCACGATTGAAACAGATTGGATCGGTTTCAATTTTTCAGGATCTGTAGATAACAGGTTGGTCTTGATTTTACTCCAATTCGATTCAATTTGGACTATGTCACCCCTAGACACATACAGCTACTGAAGATTCGATATTGGCTGGGTTGCGAAAATGATGTCCAAATCCATCCTCTATCTTAGTCTCCAAATTTTTTTTTGTTCGGTCGAGTCAAACCATGGCCAAAATCATAGGTCCACCCTTGTCCAATAGATCGGGCAGGTGGGCTGAACCTATTTTATAGATTTATTTATTTATGTTTTCATTCCTTTTCATTTTTGTGTTGACCGCTCTCACAAGGCAATCAATGGATTGGTTGATTTGTCGCCTCTCATGGACCAAGAGTCCATATTGGTATGTATAGAGATTGGGATATGGCATTGTTTGGCATTTTCAATTTGAGTTGAAGAAAACATTTTTTTTCAACAAAAATTACAAAATTATATTTTTCAACAATTTTATTTGGATATTTTGATCTTTTTGTATCCATATACAAAAAAGTGCATAATATGATTTTTTTGCATAACATTATCATTTTTCTTCTTATGAATGGAATATGGTTTATGTTAAAAATAGTCTAATGAACTGTTAATAAAGGTAAAAAATGTCAAAATATTTAATTTGAGTTATGCTAATAATAATCTCACTAATAAAGGAAGAAAAATATTAAAATGTTTAGAATCTTAATATATTTTTACACAATTCAAAATACTTTACATATTTTTATATACTTTTCGTACTTATTGCAATTGTTTATAAGTTTTTGTGAAATTTAAAATTTTATATTAGAGTGTTTGAGTAGTTTTTATTTATAATTCATGAGGTAAATTTTTTTTGAATAAATTCAAAAAAAGAAATAAATATATGAAGGGTCGTATTAAAGACAATTTTTAAAGGATTATAAAATGATAAAATATTTACATTTCAATATACTTTTTTTACATATTTTAATGTTTAATATATTTTCTTAGTACATTTTTTAACGCTAACAACTGCCTAAAGAGTTTTGAGCATTTTAGGAATTTTATATTTACTTAAATTCTTATTAAAAACATACATGTCTAAATTTTATTATTTTTTTAATAATTAATTATGTTAAACCTTTTATATTTTTAATAAAATTGTTAGTATCCTAAAATTATTCAAAAGGAATATCAAGAAATGAGTTTTTGTATTGGAACATATGAAGACAATACAAATTTGGCATCTTATAAAATTACATTTATAAGATGACCCCCTATTGGGTCAAGAAGTGATCATCATGAAACCAATGCCTGTCCAAAACTCAGACCTATTCATCAAAGATAAATTATTAGGTAGCCTGGGACATTACAATTGTATATCATTAATTAAAGAGTTGGGTTTCTCCCATATTGAGATCTTAATATAAAAATATTTGTAAAGCCCGTAAAGGTTATCACGAGTCTTGTTTCGATAATCTGAATTTTTTATTTTGTAGGATTCAATTTATATTATTCATAAAAAAATTAGTTTAATCTAATAATCATAACATTTTCATTTTATCACAGGAATGGATGACAAATAGACTATTTATTTTGTAGAGACAAATGCAATAAAATGAAAAAGTTACAATCATCAGATCACTCTAAATTTTTTCTTGAATAATATACTTGGAGGACCTTACAAAATGAACAATTCAAATTATTGAAACAAGACTCATGGTGGGCCTTATGGACCACTTAAATTCTCTCATGTTGAGATCTTAACATGAGAGAAACACAACCTTAATTAAAATAGTGGAGACCTTATTGCAGACTAGTTTGGAACTGTTACTCTGGTGGGGTTCTTTCTTTTGGGTTAAGCTAAATTTGAATATTAACCGGTTATCTCAGAGCTTGTGAAAGCTATGATGCTCCTATGGAGTTTCTTTTTTTTTCTTTTTAGTTAATTTTTGTTGTTCAATTAACTTTTTCAAAATTTGTTTATGATAATATTTTAAAAGTCAATTTGGTAATTAAAAAAAGAAGAAAATAATTAAAAAAAAATCATTAGACGAAACTAATGTTTAAAAATGAAAGAATATTTTTTTATCTTTATTTTTGTCAAACTAATCTTAAGTTCTTGGACAAATTTTTAAAAATAAAATTAAAAATTAAATCAAAGAGCCAAGATAATTGGTATAAAATGTGAGTAGAGCAATGCTTCAAAATGGTTCATGATTACTCAATAATTTTTCATTATGAAACCTACATTATAGAGAAGTTATTTGATAAATCTAAATATACAGAGAACCAAATATAAAATTTGACAAATATCTCGCAAAGGATGAGATTCACATGATGTAGGACTTACATATGAAATCCACTATTTGTGAGACATATTGTTCTATTATGTGTTTGGTTTATATGTTCCTAACATTACTCAAAGTTATATGATGATATTGTAATAATTTTCATATCATTCGTGACATAACAAGTATCATTTTGTCTTTAAAGAAAAAAAATGCAAAAACACTAGGCTATGTTTGGTTTGATTTTCTGAAATTATTTTTTGAAAAAAATATAATAATTTAATTTGACAGTAATAAGCATAAAAAATATGTACTTAAAATTTTAAAAATTATTTCCTCTGTTCAAAAGGATAAAAATTATATAAAAATAATAAGTAATTTTTTTTCTTGTAAGAAACTAATTTTTATTTATTTTGAAACAAATTTATAAAAATTAAACCAAATAGCACCCTAATTTTACTATTTTAAGAGTAAAAATTAGATTGGAATATTACAAGGGATTGTCCCAAAATCAGCAAACAAAGTCTTCAAATTGTAAAATTCGAAGTCAAACTCAACCCCCACGAGTAGGGGTACGCGCGATGTAATTTAGACGATTTGGGAGTAAAATTACAAATTGAATAGTGGATTAACAGATTGATAAATTGTGATTTAGGTAGTTTTTGATAGATTGACGGATTGAAGAATATTCTAACTAATTATTATACATTTGTATAATATATAACACTAACTTGTATAATATTTTTAGATATATAACACAAAGTAATTTTACATAATATATTTTATATATATAATTACTAATTTGTAATAAAATTTCATATCTTAGATCTCTCTTACTCTCATTTTTACATTGATATTTCGTTGGAGGTTAAAATATATATATATATATATATATTAACTATAGCTTAGCCGGTCGGTTGGCGGATTATAAATTTTAAAGTTTAAACAACGGTTAGCGGTTAGAGCAGTGCGGATTGATACGGATCGGTGCTGTTTTAGCAGATTTGGTGGTATTTTGCACAGCCCTACTGCTAACTGCCGAGAAGAAAAGACAAAAGATGGACGCACAATACCCGTCCGAACCTTTTCTCAAATGAAATGTATGTAAACCTC